GCTGAGAAACACAGTTTTATTTTTTCACATCTATTTGTCTATAATTCAAAAAGGGAAGGGAGAATCAGGCACTTGTGGTTTCTTCTTAGTGATGAGAACACCCTTTTGTTTATTGTCATGCTGACCGCAAATTATATAAAGAAAAAAAATGGTTAAAAGAAAAAAATAGTTAATGCAAATTTCTTTGCCATCCCTAGATCTGAGATTCATCTTCCACATTTCAGTGGCAAATCCATTTCACAGATTGATTTCACATATTAAAAATCAAGATTCAGAGCTGGCAGAGGTTTGGCCAAAGCCTCCCAGTAAACTTGAGGTTCCTGCTCTCACTGACTTGAACCAGAGGCTGGAAAAGTTTTGGGTTTTTTGTTTTTTTAATTTTATAGTCCAAACAAGAAACTTTTCCAAACTGTGATCTGAAGTAGCCTTGTCCTTCCAAGCAGAATCTAGTAATATGTGACGAATAATGCACCTTTATTGTAGTTGTTATGTGCCTTCAAGTTATTTTTTATTTAAAGTGGCCCTAAGGTGACCCTATCACAGGGTTTTCTTGGCAAGATTTGTTCAGAGGGGTTTGCCATTGCCTTCCTCTGAGACTGAGAGAGTGTGATTTGCTCAAGGTCACCTAATGGGTTTCCATGCCTGAATGAGGTCTACCAGAGTCCTAATCCAATACTCAAACCAGTACACCATGCTGGCTTTCCACTACTTTTATTATCCCTGTTGGTTGTATTTGGAGTTTGTTTGGTTTTAATTTTTATTTATTTATTTATGGAGTTTGTTTGGTTTTATGGAAAAGGCACCCAAGGGATGGGATTAATGGTAGTGGTAGTAATAGTAGTAATAACGATAAATTAGCATCAATTACTTCAGTTGTATTAATTTCAGCAGAGGTCAAACAGATTTCCTTCATTCTAGTGTAATATATTAAATGTTATATTAGTCCTATATTAGTGTTAAAAAGACAGGACTAGGTAACAGCTAGCTTTGCACGCCATGCGTATAATTAAGTCATTCAGTGTTCTCACTTATAGGACATTGTAACATAAAGTAGTTCTATTTTTTTATTTATTGAGATGGTTTTGTATTGTCTTCATGGGCTGTTTTATAAGGCATCTGTGTGCCTGTGTGCCTCATAAGTGATCATTCAACACTTGTGTGTGTATGCCTTCTTACCAGAGTGTAGCTACAGGGAGGCAAAAGGAGACTGTTGATCCCAACAACAATTCTGTCTCCAGAATGAAATTTTCCTTCAGTCCTCAAATTTCTAGCACTTCAGAGGATACTGATAGCCATTCACATCTAGAACTCTTATATTTTCTGTGTTCACAGTCCCTTGATAATTTTGCCTGTCCCTTGTCTAAATAGAATTCAAAGATATAGCCATGTTAGTCTGTAGAATCAGTATGTAGAAAGATCTTGTAGCACCTTTGAGACTAACTGAAAGAAAGAAGTTGGCAGCATGAGTTTTCAAAGACTTAAGCCTGCTTCCTCAGATGCACACCCCTGCCTTTCTAAGATATGCTTGTTGGACGCTAAGCATATCTGTTTTGCCCGACCTGTCTGTGATTCTTATATAAGCAATCTTGACACCTTACCACAGTACTATGGGAGCTGCTCATCTATAAGTTCACCCAATGTTAACTACATGTGTGATGGTGGCTGCCTTGTTATGGGGGCAATAAACTCATTCCAAGCTTAATTCTATGCTTTAAAGAAGCTACTATCAAAGCTATTGAATACCATCCAGAAAATTGATTCACCTTGGATAGCTCCTTTAAAATTTGTTTTAAAACCATGAACTGGTCTACTGACATGGGAGACACTGGCTGCCCCCATAGTTGGTGTTGATTGTATAAATCTGAAGATGACATAGGAGACAGTTGATCTCACCCATATGAGGGCTGTAATAAATGTGGAATAGACCTGTGGCTAAGGCTGGAACCAGACGTTTCCCACCTGAGAGAGAGTAGGAAATATTCACATACACATACATACACACAGAGTTGATATTCAAGTCAAGGAACAGAAAACCTAGGCTAACCAGGTTATTTTGGCTTCTGAAGCAGAACATTCCTCAAATACCTCTCCTTATTCCTAGCAGTAAAAATTCAATAGTAAGTTAATAACAAACAATTTGTTGCCCTTTTGTGACACCAGAAATCTGCCACCTGACAAGCTGCCTCACTTTGCCTTGTGGTGAGTCTAGTTCCTCCTACAGAAAAAACAGCCTTCACAGAGCCACAGCAGCATAGAAAGAACACTTCACGGAGGACCTACTTGTGGGAAAGTGCTTTAACCCGAAGGGAAAATGGAAATGCCCAGGGATTTATTCTCAAGTAAAATCTCACATATATTGCACACTGGAATTGGCAGGGGAGTGTGATTTGTCACACATGGGAAGCCTGTAGAAGAATATTTTCATTTATTAAATGATTGAAATAGATGGTTCATTATTTGTTAAGACTATTAATATATTATTATAATGAATCCCAAGGATTAGGCAACATTTTTTCATGGTTTTCTGGTGCTAAAAAGTTTGCAAAGATAGGTGGACATAACACCTCTTGGAATTACATGTTCTTATAACCATGTTTGCCACAGTATCACAAACACAGGTGTGTGTGTGTGTTTATGTGTGTTCATGTGTGTACATTTTAAAAGAGAGAAGTGACAGGTAAGAGGATATTTAACCTTTCCCATGCCCATGCTTTCTTTGACATATGTCTTCTAGGCCACAGTCTTTTTGCTGCCCTGCACTAGTGGAAGAAACAGTTCAACAACAGTCCAAAGCAACTGCAGGTGATAATTTGAAAGGTTGTCAGGGGGAGTGTTAAGCACAGTTCAAAATATTAACTTGTTGGTTGTTGGTGTGTGACTTCAAGTTGTTTACAACTTATGGCAACCCTAAGGCAACCCTATCATGGGGTTTTCTTGGCAAGTTTCTTTAGAGGAGGTTTGCCATTGCCATCCTCTGAGGCTGAGAGAGTGTGACCTGTCTAGTGGGTTTACATGGCCAAGCCAGGATTTGAACCCTGGTCTCCAGAGTCATAGTCCAACACTCAAACCACTAAGCCACAAAATATGAGCTACAACACCCAAAATCTGTGGTATTCTAGAAGTTGTAGTCCCAAAATATTAAATTATTATTAATAATAACAACAATAATAATATAAATTAATAATATCTCCCCATCCCCCCAATATAGGACCTCAGTGAAGCATCTCCTACTACGTTTTGATTATCTCTGCATAACCCTCCTCCTTTCCACTCATTTGTTGGCCATATGGATGAAAATACAGGGTTACAAGCCCCATATTTTTTTTTTGAAACATGGCATGTCACCCTTTTATTTGCATTTGACTGATTGGAGAAGAAAGATGGAGAGATACCAATGGCCCAAAGCCCACCAAACTGCAAATATCTGATAAAAGAATTCAGATCTTCCAAAAGTCACCAGTTTTTTAATTGAGCAACATGGTCGCCTGAAGAGTTTGTGTAATCCTGTGTAAAGGTGATTATACAGACATGTGTAGAAGCTATTCACATGTGCACTTGAGCCAGTGTTTTATGCATAAGTGAATGTATGTGATTGTAAAAGAGATAAAGAGACTCTGAACATATACAGTATAAAAGCCTGCAGATGTGTGTATGTATATGTTTATGAGAAAACACTATAGAAAATGGAAACAGTTGTGGTTAAGTGCAAGAGGGTGTCTCTCTATGTGTGGATCTGTTTAAAGAGTAAGCAAGTAAGTGTGCAGCTGTCACACCAAGGACAGCCAGCCTCATAGTGCCTCGTTTCAAATCCAATGCATGTAGCACTAGGGATGTAAAAAGGCTGAGAAAGAAGCACACACACAGAGAACAACTGACATTGTTACTAGATCAGCTCTGTGCAGTCTTTCTAAAGAACAGCCATTCCTCATGTGCCAAGTTTTAACAGTGTGCTTCATGTGAACCTGTGTGACTCTCTTTGCATGGCTCGTTCTCCCAATCTACATACCTTGGTGTGGCTGCATATAACCATTACAGCCTTTGCATCCTATATACCAGCCTATATACCTTTACTTGACTGTCTCCTAGCCTCTGTAACCAGAATGTCCCTCTTTTCCCTCAAGTGGAGTGACTTGCACTGGACTAGTGAAGAGAACAGTGTCCAGGCCAACAAGGGGAAAGGAAGACAATATCAGCTTTCCTTTTCTCCCTTTCCCTCCCCATTTTCATTGTCATTCATTTCTCATATCTATCTAGCTAATTCTATTCTAAGATATCATTCTGATTTATGAAGGGTGGGGACCCAGCAGATTTCTTTCCCTCTCCCACTCTCATGAGCCTCCCTCTGTCACTGTAGATGGACTTTCTGGTGTAAGAGTGTGTGTGTGGCGGGGGGGAAGCTATCTCTTATCTGTACATCTCCTTCTACAACCCCCCCCCCATTCCCAGGCTAACATTATTTCTAAGGGCGCCTGCGCTGCCTCTCCCCCGCCCAGCTGGGCCTGGCTATTCTTAGCTCCCAAGTCTTTGATTCATGCTTCTGAGAGTATTTCTGCTGGTTGTGCAGAGAGAACAGCTACTGCGGTGTGTGAGGGAGGAGGGATATGCACATGCCTTGCTCAGTAGCATGCGAGAAGGTCCCTGTGCCAGTCTATGAACACACGCAATGTCCCCATTCCTGTCAGGAGATGTGTGGTCCTGGTTAAGTGAAGCATATATGTACATGGAGGTGCTCATGTATTCTTGGATGAGTATATGTCTGTATATGAGGCTATGTGTGTTAAATAACTGAGCATGTGTGAAGGTCACCTAACATGTATGTGTACCTGTGGGAATGCTGGCCATGCCTGAATCAAGGCTTCTGTTGGAAAGCATATGTGGCACTGGTGAGATTGTATTGTTGTTGTGTGCCTTCAATTCATTTCTGACTTATAGTGACCCTATTGCAGGGTTTCTATGACTAAGAGTGTGTGACTCATTCAAGGTCACCCAGTTGGTTTCTATGGCCAAGCAGGGAATCAAACCCTGGTTTCAGAGTTGTAGTTCAATGTTCAAACCACTACACCACACTGGCTCTCAAGATTGTGTATATATGGAATCTAGCCAAATGTATACCTTTTCCTGCACGTATTGTGCATATGTATACCTCTTGTTGCACAGACTGATAGTGTATTCCTACATGGCAGGAGATTGGCCTGGATGGCTCTTGTGGTCTCTTCTGTCTCTATAATTCTATGATTCCTCTACATATATATCAGAATATGTATGTGTCATGCATCACTTTCACATGTGACTACATATACTTTCATGACTATGTATCTTTGTGTTTGTATGTGTAAGAGAGAATATGTACAGAGGTGCAAAAACTGCACATAGATGGTTCACATTTCAGAGATTGTGGGTGGTGTGTGAGATTACAGTTGCTTGAATTAGTGGCACGTTGGAGGTAGCAGATGCAGACACATCTTCAGATTAGTGCATGGCTGCATGTATCTGTTGGGATATATGCATAATGTATGACCACATGAGTACAAAGAACCACATGCCAGCTTGGAAGAGCTTTCGCATCTGCTGCTTCCAGAATGCCAAAATTCACGCAAGTGTACCAAGGCAGATCCAAGTTTTAGGGGGCCATGGCAAAATGCCTTCATATGCATGACATGACATTGCTCTCTGAATCAACACACATGAGAACAACGCTCCTGCTTGCAATAAGCAAATGAAGAAAGGGTCTCTTTACTCATCTGTTATCAGCAGGGGTGAACACAATAAGCATTTTCTGAACAAGGCTGTGTACTAACATTGGACTTGTGACTGCAATCTCATCTCTTTGTTGATATGGCACCTGAGTAACTCATGCCCTTTTTTAGCAGAGTATAAGAAAAGAACAAAGGGATGGATGATGGAGTTGAGAGAAGTACCTATGTACCGAACTCATTTTGTGGGAACATACTTATGTACAGAGAGCATGGATGGATGGACCACTTATGTTTTGCTAAAAGTGTTTGGGGGAGGGAACAGGAGCAAATTTCTTGTCCCTGGGACCCACTGTGATCTCCACTTCCCCCAAACTGAAACCAGAAATGACTGTAAGTCCACTTCCAGTTTTGTAAATTTGAGGAAAAAACTGTGTGTGTGGGAGGAGGGTGCAGGCTGCTGTGCCTTTTTAAAAAGGGAAAATTGCTATTGCTGGAAGTTCTGTGAAAAAGATAATTTGGTGGGAAATTCAGGGAGTACAGACATGGGTGGAGAGTGCATATAGTCCATGGACTACATGTTACTTACCTCAGTCTAGAAGCTAATGAAGAAGTAATTACAATAATTCAAATTAGAAATTAAAAAGAAATATAATTTGAGTGGGAAAGACTATGACCAGGTCACCTGTGTGCCTGCTCAGTCTTTACCATGGAATGAGAACATCAGGGCCTCTGCCTGTTCTCCCTTCTGATAGTTCTTTATTTATAAATTGGTTTTGCAGTAAACTCATCAACTAAAGAATTCTTCAGGCCATGCAGCGCAGTTTACGCAGTTCTCCAACAAAGCCACCCTTTGTATTTTCACAGCTACCCTGTGAAGAAGATTAGAATTGGAGATAAGTACATTCAGGTATTTATCTGAATGAGGGCAAGAAGTGTGTAGAATCATGTGACTTGCCAGATATCGTTTACTGCAGCTACCAACATTCTTCACCATAGGCTATACTGGGAAAAGCTCATGGGAGCTACAGTCCATGACATCTTGTGATCTTTCGATTCTCATCCCAGATGTGTAGGCATGGGGACACACATGTTCTGTGCCATCATTTTCCTTCAATTCCTGACTTCCTACAACACTCCATATAATTGGACACAAAGTTCTACTTGTGTGAGTAGACTGTCTGTTTAGACCTCTTTCTCAACACACGGAGATTGGGGACTAAGGGACAATATGCTCAGGGGCTCCATCTCTTCACCCTCTTCTCATAATCTTCATTCACACCAACAAACTATGCCAGACAAGGAGAGAATTATAAGTACCTCACCATACTACAGATCCTAGAATTCCAGAGGGTAAAACCATTACAATTATAATGATATCAAACAACTATGACATTGAAATAGTCTGGTACTTTGACTGGCAGAGTTTAGAAGCACATTCAGAAAACAGTGGAGGAGGGGTTTGTGAACAAATCTTTATGTATGTGAAAAAGAGTTCAGCAAAGTTTGACAATGGAACCAAGGGTAGTGTGTTCTGTCTCGCACACAATAAATTTTCAAATCAAGGCAGCATGGTCATCTTTGGAGATTTTCCAGCAGTTGACTTCCTGCATGAAACAGAGCACTGAGCTAGGTGATCAAAAGGCCCCCTCCAACTTTATGGTTTTCTTTCACTAGTACCTTCTTTTACATAAACCCCATTGGAGCTCAGTTGCTCCCAGTTACTTCATCTGAACTTTCTTAGAATGTCAATGGTGTGGAGGCAAATTTGGAAGTTTAAATGCTCATCACCTGTATTTCCACCCCAAGGAATGTCCAAAAATGCAGGCAGCTGCAAGTCAACTGAGATGTTATGAAGCACAAAGAATGCATATTCTATTATTAACCCATTTTCACTTCTATAAAATTTCTTCAAACATATGTGCCTCAACAGGTAGCTTCCATATCAGTGGGACCAGATTTCAATCTGAATTTTAAAATTGCTGTCCAGTGTGCTGAACCATGACCCCAAAATAGTTGCACCACATACACAACAAATGCAAGATATGTAAGTAAGGGAAATCATGTGCTATGACAACCAAACATGTTCCATCATTTAATTCATCTGCAAAAAATAAAACCCCTGAGGGATTCTGGGAATTATAATACAAAAACAGAGCTGCAATCCAAGGGTTTTGGAAGAGGTGGTGGTTTGGGTCATACCTATTGATTTTTAAGCCTGAAATAATGAAAATGAAACTTTGTTACAACCTCCTTATGCCACCTACCTTATTTTCCTGCGTATAAGACTACTTTTTAACCTGCAAAATCTGTGGTTAAAGTGGGGGGGTCGTCTTATACGCCGGGTCATCTTATATGCCGGAAAATACGGTACTTTCCTATTTGTTTTAGCTCTCAATAGTGAAGCCAATGGCTGGGTGAAACTGTAAAACTATACAGGGCATAGTCTGATGTAGAATATTAGGCAGATTGAGGCAACCTGCCTCTAACAGCAGATTTAGAGGTACTATTAAAGAGCAGTAAGCAATCCATTTGTTTCACCTGTTTACAAATGAAACTCTATTTGGATTTTGTAATTCAGAGATCATGACATAATTAGTGCCTGGTAAGGTTTACTTCCTGCACAGGATTGGGGAACCAGTTGCCTTCCAGATGAACTCCAGTTTGCATCAGTCCTGGCTAGCCTGACCAGTGGTGAAACATGATGGAAGTAGCTGTCCATCAAACTCTGGAGAGCTGAAGGCTCACCGTTCCTGCTTGAGGGCTAGAGAAAGAAGACATTCTGAAGCCCTAAACTAGTTTAGGCAAACCATAGTTTGGGATTAAATTTTAACTGGTAAAACCAGGATCCATATTATCAGTCTGAAGACAAGCCATGTTTTCCCCAGCTTGAATGTACGTACCATCATATTGTATGCATAATCTATACATATTATTTTGATTGCATTTTTATCACACCTTTCCTCAAAGAAGCTTACAGTACATTGGTCCCGTGATCTATTTTATCCTAACAATAACCCTGTGCAGTAGGCTAGACTAAGAGCACATGACCAACCCAAGAATCTGACAATTTATGGTCTGCTCATCTGAAGAAAGAAGGGAGAGTACTGAAGCCTACAAAAAGAGGAGAGAGGGTCGTGTCTGAACCAACCCGTTTTCTCTATCTCAGCCCTCCACCTGTAATTCTTGGGTTAACAATGCTGCCCTAATTCACAAGATTGCTGTAAGGATATAAGAGATAATCTAGGCCCTCTCTCATCATCTAGATTCTAAAAGAAGCATGCTGATCACTCTGACATGTTCAGGAAATGCCAGATATTATTATTGTCTGCCAGAGGCTCCAAGGTTCAAGAACGATCCTTCATTATTTTTGAGTCCTACATGTCTGCCCATTGCTTTACCATAGCTTCTAGTCCTGTGCTCATTCCCCATACATTCATACAAGACCTTGCTTTGCTTGCTTGGCCAGTCTTCTTCCTGCCTGTTATTGCACCATTCTGCCACAAATCCTAGAAAAGAAACTCTCACATGTCAGGTTCAGAACAGAGACTGCAAATAGAGCCAATTTATGCCACGAAAGCAAATATCCATCAGTTTGATTGTTTGGCGTAACCTGCTTTGAATGCAACATCTTAATTTTCTGAGTCAAGAATGCAGTATCGTTACAAAGAAGGAACAGCTATATTGGATTGGTATTAAGCCAGAGTTGGCTCAGGGTACCTTTTATGCATTAGGTGGGATGGAGTAGGACTGTCTACTTGAACTGAACACTCATTGCAAAGTCTCAGATGATTTTTGGGTTGCTTCCTTAGTTTATAAAGGGAGTCAACATGCTGCATTGTCCTGTTCATGGTGGTTGTTCAATCTCTAGGGCAATCATGTATCCTGCTTTGTGGAAGATAGGTCTTAATTTGAAGGTGCCCTCTATTTGAAGGACTGTCCAGTCCCAGTTCTGTTTAAAGATCAAGAAACATAAGAGGAGTGAAAAGACAAGAACTTGAAGTTGTCCATCAATCATTTGCCCTTGGGCAACAGATTGAGTGGATAGATAACACAGGCCACCTAGTTACAGCCTCCCCTATTTTGCAGAGATGTATTACGGTATATTTCTGTTTTAAGTGAGAGTAGTGATGTCTGAATTTGAGTATGTAAATGTATGCATCAAACACAAATACAAGCAAATTTGAACATGCAGAGCAAGGACAAATAAAGGGGACAATGATTTGCAAAATATTTGCATGCTCAAGTTTCATGCTGATCACTGTCCTCTTTTGTCCTCCTTTTGGATGATGCACTACTGGATGCCTGTGTGTCTGGGATTATGCTGGCTTGAAGACTTGATGCTACATGCATTTCCTCTGCTAACCAAGTGCCAGAGACAGGCCATGGAGTTCCATGTACCATCTTTACCCCCTCCCCAATAGCAGACTTTTTTGCTGGCTGTTTCCATTGTTTCTGCTCATGTGAATAGCTAGCCCAGCCCGAGGGGTTGTCTGTGCTGCTTAAAAACTCATTAAAAACCCACCATCCCCCAGAATATGGAGTGTTACGGCCATACAGCATGCAGCCTTATCTCTGAATCTGGGGTGATAAAGTTACATTATAGATGCATGGTACTATCTTCCCCAGATTTGGGATATCTCACCTTATTGTGGGGTTTTCCTTGGAGTTGGCACCTCTGCCATTGCTGCTCCTGCCTCTGCTCCCCCCCGCCACTGCTGTGACCTTCAAACTTTTTTTCCCAAGCATCCCCTCTTCCCAGGAGCACTGGCAGCAGCAGCTCTCAGTCACTTGTGTCAGGAGAAAGTGCTCAGTTCACATACTGAGTGCCTCATTTGCCTCAAATTGATGGACGTGCCAGTAGAGCCAGCATTGCCAAGGGAGGAGGAGAGAAATATTCAGACTGGGAACTGGCCCCAGTGTTTGAAATTGGTGGTGGGGGGAGACCCAGGAAACTCCACAGGGATAGTCAAGTAATGTAGGCAATCTACCCAATGTCCCTGCAGAGAAAAAGTTATGTGTGGTGGCTCTGGGGTGGGTGTCAGGAATCCATTTGGACTTTTGCCCCTAGTGTAGACTTGCCCTTAATCTTTCTGCTGTCAGAAGCATAGGATGAGATCAAAATATGCCCCCCCCCCATCATTCTATGTAGCAGAGCTGCCCAGATTGGCAGTCAAATTCCATGACAGCTTGGTAATGAGTACATTTAAGGCTCAGCTTCATTTATAAGGAGCTGTCCAAAGTCCTGAACCCTATCTCCCCAAATAGGTTTAGAACAGGGGTAGGCAACCTAAGGCCCGGGGGCCGGATGCGG